TGGGGGGGGAGTACTGGAGAAGAAAGTTGGAGAAAGTGAGGCAGACAGCCTAAGATACACACAGGGAGACCAGTTCATCCCAGTTTGCCAGAGATTGTCCCCCAGTGTTGACACTGACATCCTGCATTCTAGAAAACCTCTTAGTCCCAGGCAAACAAGGACAATGGATCACCCGAGGTCAGAGAGGTGAAAAACTCAGAGAAAGGGTAGAAAAAGAGAGGCACTTCTCTGAAATGAGTGCAGATCAGGCCACCCCAAGAACTTTTCTGGAAGAAGAGTGCATTGGGACCAGGCATGGTGGCTCCTGCCAATAATCCCAACACTTTGGGAAGCCAAGGAAGGTGGGTCACTTGAGGTCAGAAGTGCAAGACCAGCCTAGCCAACATGGTGAAACCCCATCTCTACAAAACACACACACACACACACACACACACACACACACAGATTAGCCAGGCATGGTGGTGGGCACCTGTAATCCCAGCTACTGAGGCAGGAGAATCACTTGAACCTAGGAGGCAGCAGAGGTTGCAGTGAGCCAAGATTGCACCACTGCACTCCAGCCTGGGCAACAGAGCAAGACTCCGTCTCAAAAAAGATCTAAACAGAGTGTATTGGTCCTAACTAAGCCAAGGCCTCTGTCGTCAGTGCTCTAGCCCACTGCTAGTTTCCTTTAGAGAAGACAGCATCTCCTCACTTTCCCCACCTAGAGAAGCCAAGGTCCTCCCAGAGGAGCATGCTCAGACTGAAAGCTTGGGAGCCACAGGAGCTGCCCATAGGACCTGTCTCTGAGCTGACCACGCTCAGGCAGTCTTGGCTTAAAATACCTGCTTCCTCCACCCAGTTGGGATGTTGAGATTAGTTCTCAATCTGCTATCCGAATGTCTGGGTTCCAATCTCAGTTCTGCCACATAGATGCTGTGGAATCTTGGGTGAATCTATTGCTACTTTGTGTTTAGATTTTTTAGAAACTATGGATTTGTCTGTCCCGTATACTTTGCCATCCCCCTTTTTCTGATTTCTTTAGGAAAGTCCTCTCCTATAATATGTGGTTTTGGTGGGGCTGTCAGTCATGGTGCCTTTCTTTTCCGAAGTCATGGGGCTGGGTGTGTGTCCCAGACTGAGCTAACTATAGCACCATATCCTTTAGACATTAGGACTGGTTCAGGGGTGGGCATGAACCAAAGCCCTAGACTTTTCTGTTGGATCTAGGAAGGGAAGGCTATCTCTCTCCCTTTGGAATCTATAAAGTATAGGCTTGGAACTGCTAGACAGGAAGAGAAACTCTTCTGCTGCAGGAAAGGGAAATGGAGTGAAGCAAAACTAAGAGAAGACAGAGAGCAGTAACATTGATTTGAGACCCTTGATCCAGCCATACCTGCAGGCAGAACACCTTTGCACTTCCTAGTTACACTACCTTTTACATTGTATTTTCTGCTTCAGTTTGATTGCGTTGAATTTGTCACTTGCAACTGAAAGGATCTTCAACTACATGATTTCTTTATCTATGAAAATTAAATACAATTTTGTATAAGACTGTTGAGTATTAAATTAGATCATGGGTGTGAAAGGGATTTTAAAAATAGTAAAACACTGTACATAGCACTCACACTTTGTTGGTAGGAATGTAAAATGATGCAGCAACGGTGGAAAAGTTTGGCAATTCCTCAAAAGATTAAACATAAAATTACTATATGACCAGCAATTCCACTCCTAGGTGTATACCCAAGAGAACTGAAAACATACATTCATACAAAAACTTGTATGAACATTCTGCTAACATTACACTACGTTCATGAATGGTAGAACTGTTATCAGCAAGACCAGCAGCACAAATGTCATAGCCACATTATTCATCATAACCCAAAGTGGAAACACCCAAATACACATCATTTGATGAGTGGATAAACAAAAGGTGGTGTGTCCATAGGATGGAATGTTACTCGGTGATAAAAGGAAATGAAATACTGATGCGTGCTGCAACACGGTTGAACCTTGGAAACATCATGTTAAGGAAAAGAAGCCAGACTCAAAAGGTCATGTGTTATACGATTTCATTTATATGAAATGTCCAGAATAGGCAAATCCATAGACACAGAAAATAGATTTGTGGTTGCCAGGGGCTGCTGGGAAGGAATGGGGAGTGTCTGCTCATGGTTACAGGGTTTCTTTTTGGGGTGATAAAAACATTGTGAAATTAGTATGGATGGTTTTACAATCTTGTGAGCATACTAAAAACTGCTGGATTCTGTGGTACATGTGATGGCATGTGAATAAATAAAACACTGTACACGTGTGAAGAGTCATTGCTATTATTACTAATATTCAACAGAAGCCACAGCTTTCGGAAAGCCCTTCACCCAATTCATTGCAATTCTTTAGCCTTAGAGTGTGGATTGTGCACTTGTCATTCATACGCTGTTGCCTTGGGTGTGATTTAAATTTTGTTTCATAATGATAAAATAAATGATTTTAAATATATTAATAAATACTAGATTATGATAAATAAGTATGTGGTTATGTCCAGTCTCCTCGGCTCCATCACCAGCTCGCCTCGTGCAGGCTGCGGGGCACGGGGCACAGTAGGCACTCTGTAGGATTTGTTGAAAGAACAAATGAAGGCATACCTCTCCCCCCACCCTCACATGTTACACAAAATCACACATAGCAATCCTCAGGACCCCCATTCCCCCAGCCCCTGTGAGGATGGTGAAGGTGAATGAATGGTAGAATTGTTACCAGCAAGACCAGCAGCAGCACAGCCGGGACAGCCACCGCAGCGCGCCCCTTCAGCAAGCAGCATGCAGACTCTGAGCAAAAGCTGCAGACCACCCACATGTCAGAGGTGCCTGGGGAGCCTCTGATCCTTGGGGATCACCAGCACTCCCTGATCCTTGGGGAATTTGCGGTCTTTGCACGTGCTCCAGGTGATTCTGGCACACCTGGAGATTTGTGCAAGGCAGGGACACAGGCCGCAGCCCCTTCCCGAGCTGTGAGTATGTTCTACATTCAACTCAACTGGCTTAAACTCAGCTCAATAAAGGGGACTCACTGTCACGTAGCTGGTAAGTCCAGAGGGGAACAGGGTAAAGGGGTGCTTCATTCAAGGGTTCAACAAGATTCTCCATTCTGTCATCCAGTGTCCACCGCGTCCCAAGACAGATCCTCCTTCCCTACCCTAACCCCGTGAACTTCTGCAATTACAAAGTTTCTTGTTCCAGCCTGGGAGAGGAGGCAGGAGAGGGAGAGGGGAGGAGAGAGAGTTCGTTCATCTGTCTGTTTGTTCTAAGGGCTGTTTTAGAAAGGCAAGAAAGCTTGCTTTCTGGAAAATGTTTTTCTTTAGTCTTTCTAAAACTATGGGCTGGGACGGGTAACACACTCATTCATTTTAGCCTGAACTGCATACCTCCCTCCACACACGCACACCCCAGGGATGGAATCACCTTCCCCGAGTCTGTGGCTGAGTGGGAGAGGTGAAGATACTGAAGTAAAAACCCAGATAGTCACCCGAAAGAGAGTGAGGTTGATAATCAAACACAATGCCACATGACTCGTGAACCTGCACCTTCTCAAACTCCAGCTTACCTTCAGGGGCCCTGACTGAGCAGCACCCCCTCTGGGAAGCCCTTCCAGTACCTCTCAGATAGAAAACTCCATCCTCTGTGCACCCACACACCACCTGTACTCACTTATCCATCCACCCACCCACCTACTTGGTTCCTGGGTGTTGGGGGCTGAGTACTCCGTTGTGAACTGGAGATTTCTGGTTATTTTTTTTTTTTTTTTTTTTTGAGACGGAGTTTCACTCATGTTACCCAGACTGGAGTGCAATGGCGCGATCTCGGCTCACCGCAACCTCCGCCTCCTGGGTTCAGGCAATTCTCCTGCCTCAGCCTCCTGAGTAGCTGGGATTACAGGCACGTGCCACCATGCCCAGCTGATTTTTTGTATTTTTAGTAGAGACGGGGTTTCACCATGTTGACCAGGATGGTCTCGATCTCTTGACCTCGTGATCCACCCGCCTCGGCCTCCCAAACTGCTGGGATTACAGGCTTGAGCCACCGCGCCTGGCCGTGAACCGGAGATTTCTACCCTGATGGTGTTTTCGGTCTGCACAGGAGAGAACAGTTAATCAAATGATCACACCAATTGATGTCTAGCTTCTCCACTAAGCACAATGAAGAAAACTGAGGGAGGGCAGGACTGGGAATATCAGCATGTGTCTGGGACCCCGCCTGGTGGGGATGGTAAGAGGGGTGAAAGGAGGCTTGCCTGAGAAAGTAGGGGAAAGGTGCTCTGCTGTGGCTTTCCTGCATCCTGACCTTCCTACCCTCTGCCTCAGCTTCCTCCATTGCTGGAAAGGCCAGCCTCAACACGTGGGATGGAGGTCCAGAGCCTGGATTTAAAGCTCTCGAGATACATGTGCATTGAATTTAACTGTCAATGATTACAAGGGGGAAAGAAGGTGGCAGGGTTCCAAAGAGCCTCATGCTGTGTTAAGAGCGGGTGTGCGGTGCACCTGGGTGCTTTGGAATGCCTCAGGTGTGGAGGTTTGGGGAGGATGGCAGTGGAGGCGAATCTGCACGTATTCCAGGGTCAGAAGAAACACTGCAGCCTCTACGGTTCAAGCTTCAGGGTGCAAGGAGACACGGGGATGGCTCAGAATGGACCTTTGAGGGACATCCACTCACTTGGCCAAGGGGACCTGAGTTTTAGCAGGTGTTCCTGAGCCAGCTCTTTTCACTGAGAAATGGGAACAGAAACCACTTTTCCTGAGCAGAATCTGACTGAGGCGGTTGGTGCTACACTGCTGAGCGAGTTTCCAGGCGCGGTTCTCTGGAGTATTCTCGGGAGCATGAGGTCGGGTCGGAGAAGGAGCGCTGCAGGGGCGCGTCGAGGCAGCGCGCCGCCTGCCCAGGTGGCAGAGCGGCCGAGCCTGGCCGGGAGCCCGAGGCGGAGCGGTGTCCGGGGCCCCTCCCCGCAGCTCGAACCCTCCCACTTCCTCTGAATGAGCCGCAGCTGTCAGGGAGCCCCGCGCCCCGCGCAGTGCAGGCTGCAGGCGTCGCGCCGAGGACGCTGCCGCTCTGGCTCGCCGCCCCCCGCCGCTGCTGCACACCGGAACCCGCCACCGCGCCGCGGGACATGGACCTGCCCAGGGGCCTGGTGGTGGCCTGGGCGCTCAGCCTGTGGCCAGGTACGTGCCCACACCCTGCCTCCCCTTGCCTCTCGAAGTCTCTCCCTGGGCCCTGGGGGCTTGGATCCAGCAGCCGGGAGCGGGACGCGACGCGCCTCCTAGGGTCAGACCTTGGCTGCTCTTGGGGACGTAGGTCCCCCAGGGACTGGCCGCAGTCGAGCGGTTTCGTGAAGCTCAGCACAAGAGGGCGGTGCGCGGAGGCTATTGAGAGCCGGGACTCTTTGGTGTGTTTGGGACGAGTTGAAAAGGCTAGAGTTGAAAAGCGCCCTGATGGTGGCACTCCTGGGTGCCTCCATGGGCCACGCCAGGGGTCCCGCACAGCTGCCAGGGGCACTCGGGTGTGCCCCGAGCGCCGAGGGCGCGCGGCCACAGCTGGGGAAGCGGACAGAACGCGCCGAGCGAGCGTGCCCCGGCTGCCATTCTGCCTGGCGCCGGGGAAGCATCTCAAAGTTTGGAGAGCCGGACGCGGCGGCCCCGGAGGGCTAGGGAGTGGGGTGGGGGCTGCCCAGAGTCCCTCGGGCAGAAGACAGAGCAATTCCCCTGGGTGATGGCCCGTAGGCGGGGGCTAGCCCTCATCGGCCCGGCCAGCAGCGGCGGGACGCAGCCGCGCAGCGCAGGACCCCCGGAAACGTTACCTGACACCCGGGGTAGGGACGCGGCATCGCTTCTCAACCCGCGCTCAGAATTATGCAATTATTCAATAATCTGGGGAAAGCCGCCGTCTCTTAGACGCGCGCCGCCGCCTAATGCACTCCAGGTGTAGGGGCGCGGCAGGAACCTCCGGCCCGGGGCGCACGGCAGGTAGCTGGTGGCCAGCCCTGGGCTCTCCGCCCAAGTGTACCCGGGCCCCGGCGGTCCCACACCGGGCGCCCCAACCCCACCCTCCACCAGGGGCGGCCGCCAGTGATGCTGTTCTGCAGAAGGCGGCCGAGTGTTCCAGCAAGGGCTAGCGCCTAGGGTACTGGCCGGGTGTGAGTGCTCGACCTGACCTCCTCTTCTGCGTGGGCTCCGGGCCCGAGCTAGGGCCGGTAGTGGGGGACAGATGCAGCGGTAGCGGTAGAGGTGCCCTCAGGGAGCTCAGGTGGAGACTCTCATCCCGACTGCCGGATAGGGGTCTCCACCTGAGCTCCCTGAGGGCACCTCTACCGTTTGCCCCAGTGTCAGCTTACAGAGGAGCTTCTCAGAGGGCCCATGGTTGAAAGGGCCTCTGGCTAGTGGAATCTTAGAGTCACAGTTTAAAACGATCATTGGTGCATTGAGTTGTAGGGGGCTTGGATGGGAAAGCGAGGGAAGAACTGCCACCAGGCCAACATGCATCTAGAAGCCAGCTGCAGGAGGAGGCCAAACCCATTTAGGTGTATTTAGACAGGAGGGGAGAGTCTTCTCCAGGACCTGTCCTTCTATCATGAGGAGATCCAGCCACAAGAAAAGAGGTGCACTCCTGTGTGATTCCAGATATGTGGCTCCATCAGAACCTTGGGAAGGAGTGGCTGCCTTAGGGGCTAGGGACCACCTGGACCTCAGGAAGCTAGGAGCAATGGCTTTGGAATCAGACCTGGCTTCCACTTGGCTCTGCACCCTGCTAGCTGTTCGATCTCGGACTGGTTATGCAACCTTTCCAACAGGTTTCCTTATGTGAGGAATGGAGATACAAATTCTGAGTCCCTGAGGTTGTCAGGATGCAGTAAGGCACTGTAAGAAAGGCCCTAAACACAGGGCTGGGTGCACAGTAGGCTTTAATCAATGGTTGTTAATGTTGTTTGTTGCTCAAGTGGTGGGGGGGGGTGGAGAACAAGGACGTTAAAGGACCTCTGAAGACACGGGATTTGTGAGTCAGAGCTCCGCTTATATGGCGAAAACACTCCTGAGTTATGTCTGGTCAGTTGCGTTGTTGAAATATGGGATTCATTAAACATATCAATCAATGTTGGAACAACGACATCCGCCAGCAAGAAGCTGGGGGTGGGGCCCAAGCATGTGTGTGATCTGGGTCCTGCCTGTAACTGAGAACAAGCCAAGGCCAGGGAAAGCTAAACAGAGGGACCAGGGAATGAATGGCGTGGGGAAACCAGGGGCTGGGTGTTCAAATAAGAGAAGTTCAATTTCAGCCAGATAAGGAAGGCTTCCTGGAGGAGGAGATATCATTTGAACTGGCCCTGAAAAAGTGTGTAGAGTGTGAGTGGGCCTTAAAGTGGGAAGGTTCATATTTTGGAATGTTATTTTCTGGGACTAGTTGAAGAAGTTGATGAATATTTTAAAACCACTCTGGTCAGTTGAAGACTAGAAGGGTCTCAGGGATCACTGAGTTCATTCCTCAGGCTCCAGGACAAGACTGATGTTGCTCTCTGATCTGTGCATCACATGGATTCAATGTGAGGATTACCGGGAAGCTTGTCTACTGGTGAGAGCAGTTTGGCTGGGCAGGGGGCCTGTCAGAGGCCAAGGGAGAGTGAGGCCTCAGAGCGTCTACTCTCCCAGAGCTCCCAGAGGTCCAGCTGCAGGTTGGACAGTGTGATGGGGTAGACAAAACTATCAGGAAAGCCTGAAAAAAAGAAGTAATCAAGTCCAAAGACAGAGGAGATCCATTGACCGGAGTTTTACAGTCATAACCTAGCTGTAAGGGTGATGATTCATAGAAGTGCAATCTTTGCTGAGCACCTGTTATCTTCCAGGCTCCATAAAGACACAAAGTGAGATCAGACACGGTGTAAGGGTGAAGGCCCTGGAGTCTCACTGCCTGGGATTAACCTAGGCCCTGCCAGCTAGGGCTCTGTGCCCTTGGCAAGTTACTCTATGGCTCTGTGCCTCAGTTTTCTTACCTACAAAGTAGGGGTAATAATAGAACTTAGTTATCACAAAGATTAATGCTTAGGAAATGCCAGACACATATTAAGCACTCAAGGCGATTGTCTTTCGTCTCTAGCATCAGCAGCAGCACTCAAGGTATTGACTATTCAGGATCTAAGCACACACGGAGATGTAACTTTCAAACTCAAGTTCATAAGAGAAGTTTAGAGGAAGTGTATTAAAGAATCAGCAGAGATATACATGCCAGGGCCCCAAATAAGTGAAGACTTTCCTAGCCCCTCCCTCAAAGCCCTGGCCCAAACTCTTGATCATAATAACAACTCAGGGTTGTTTTGTCTGTTTGCTTACCACCGAGGCTGTCTTGAAGTCAGTATGTGGTTGGTGTGGCAGAGGAGAAGGCCCATACCACACAACGTGGCCCTTGTGGGTGGGGGTCCTACCCAACAGAAAGCCTCCTGTGGAGAAGCACAGTGCTAGGCACCGTAGGTGTGCAAAAGCTGCAGAGGTCCAAGTCCTGCTCCCAGCCTCTCCTTCCCAGTGGACAGCAGGGAAGAAGGGGAAGTTTGTCACTTCGCCACCCCATTGCCCACCTGCTGGGAACTTGTCAGCAAAGCGCCTCAGCTGCCATTAGCTGAAGAGCTTCTGGATCTTTCCGTATCACAAACAGGCCCTGGAGTGAGTCTCACTCTCTTTCTGCTTACTCACCATGCCCCCATTTCTACCCCACACTGGACCCCCAGAGATGGGATGTCTAGCTCCATGCTCTTCCCACCATTCCCAGCCCATCCAAGCAGGGCTGTGAGCTCTGGAAGAACTCAGACAGTATCTTACCTCCACCTTGCCCTCTCTGAATCTCTTTCTACCCTGCTGTAGTGGGAGTTCTTCCTTCTTAACAGCAGGGACATTCCCTTCTATTCTCCCTCCCTTCCACCAACACCCCCAGATCCTATCGCTTAGGATAAAACTATGTTCTGAGCTGCGCCAGTTTGGCTCTTGCTATGTGGAAGGGAATTTGGGGAATTTAAAAAGCCCCTGTTTCTTCACAGTGCCTGGATTTGGGTGTTATTGTCTCACCCTGAGCTTCCAAAGCTTACTTTGGGACTCAAAGTTGAACATAGTCCTAGGATCTATCATAACCCTGCCCAGGCAGTGATGGGCTCTGGCTGATTCAGGGAGGGTCAGCTACAAAATCAGCCTTAAAAATCCTCTAATACCATTCAAAAATGGCATCGCTGCTGATCCTCATCACTTAAATCCCCTTCCCTGCCCACCCACTCCCCACCAACTGAGGGCTACCAGCAAGGATTCACAGGCATCTGGAACTTTCTCCTAAGCAGTTGTGAGCTCCAAAGACACCCGCACACCTTCAGCACGGAGTGCTTGCTGTAGGAGCTGTGGTCCAAGGACGGCCCTCCCCAACCCCAGCATGCAGATCCTAACTGTGTGAATTCTTCATCAGACGGCCAGAAGTTTGCTACCAGTGATGGGAGAAGGAGAGGAAGAGGCTGGTGGTGGTCATCTTGTAAATCAAAAATCAATGAGCTGCAAAAAAAATTCCATGGAGGGTTTTCATACTGTATACTTAAGACCTGAGTGACAAGCCGTGTGAAATCCCACCTGGAGGAAAAGTCAGTGTGGCCAAACCCGCTCCCTGCTGTCTCTCACTTCCTCCTTCGCCGAAGCACACACCGAGCAGCAGAAATAATCGGCATGTGCGTGGGCTGAGGACCCAGACTGCCCGGACACAAATCCTTTCTAGCTGGATGACCCTGGATGAGCCCCCTGGGGCCTCATTTTTCACAACTGTAAAATGGGCAGCATAACGACTTCATAGGCCAACCATCAGGTTCAGTGGTCCCTATGTAATGCATTTGTGTCAAGTGCTGAGAACAGTGTCTGGTACCCAATAAGCCCTCAGCTCACAGAAGCATTAGTACTCTTCCCCTCATTTAATTGATGCCAGGCACTGTGTCAAGCACTTTCTCATATCTCAATAAGGCCTCGCTACAGTTGCATGGAGTCACTACTGCAATTCTGCCATTACCAGGTTACACACAGGAAGTTAAATGGCTCATTCAAGGTCACATCCACAGAGCAGGAAGCATTGTCGGGATTTGTCTGACTCCAAGGCCACTGCTTTTTTTTTTTTTTTTTTTTTTTTTTTTTAAAAGACAGTCTCACTCTGTCGCCCA